TCATAGTATGTTTTCAGGGTTCATCCATGTCATAACATGTGTCAGCACTTTATTCCTTTGACTGGGTAATATTCCATTGTATGTATAGACCACATTTTATTGACCCATTCACCTGTCAGTAGACACTTGGGTTGCCTCCACCTTTTGGCTACTGTGAATAATGCTGCTGTGAACACTGGCATATAAGTATGTGTTCGAGTTCTTGGTTTCAATGCTTTTGGGATGTATACCTAGAAGTGGAATGGCTATGATAATTCTGTTTAGCACTTTGAGGAATCACCAAATTGTTTTCTACAATAGCCGCACCATTTTACATTTCCACAAGTAGTTAAAAAAAATTTTAATTAGCCTTTTTATTTTGAGATAATTGTAGATTCACATGCAGTTGTCAGAAATAAAACAGAGAGATCCCATGTGGCCTTTACCCAGTTTCTCCCCATGGTGACATCTTGCAAAACTGTAGTATAATATCACAACCAGAATTTCAGTCAAGATATGGAACAGTATAAAGGCTGAAGTATTTCTTAATAATATTAGCTAACATGTATTGAGCACTTACTGCTATATGCATTATTTTAAGTGCTTTACATGTATTAACTCATTTAATCCTCACAACAACCCTAATGAGGTAAGTACTATTATTATCCCCATTTACAGGCACAGAAAGTGAGGCACAGAGAAGTGAAGAAACTTGCTCCAGGTCACTCAGGTAGTGAAAGGTAGGGTCAGGTCTGACCCTGAGCCTCATGCTTTTTTGTTCTGCTTTAGAGGCACAGACCTCTCTGGGCCTCCACAACAGTTACTGCTTTGAAAATAAACGCAGTCACCAGGCAAGCTGAGGAAGCCACAGCCAAGAAGTTCCCTGGGCGTTTGCATCCAGATACTTTGGCGGAACATCTCAGTGTGGACTTGCTTCCTCCCTCTGTTCACCTTGTCTTTCCCCCTGTTCCTTACGAGCTTGTCTAGGCCCATTCTACCTCCCCACTGTCTCCGTCAGGGCTGAGCAGGAACACACATCTCCTCACAGAGTCACCAAAGAGAATTTAATGAAGGAACTATTTACAGAGGGGTGGGTGGGGTGGTGACAGACCCCAGGACTAGCAACAGTGGGGAGCCTTTAACGCCCCCCAACCTGAAGAGACTGGGGTGGGAATTGCTCCAGGAAGCCAGGGAGAACTGTGGCTGTGCTTAGAGGTCAAAGTCTCGGCCACACTGCCACCCAGCAGGAAGGGATGGAAGCAGTGGGAGTCGGGAATAAATACCCCAAGTTCCCTGCCCCCTCATCTGCGGTGGCTCAGGGCAGCACACCTAGTTAGACGCTGGAGGATAATGGATCTCAGAGGAAGGAGCAGGGAGGGCAAGAGTAGACTGTGGAACTGGAGGAACCAAAGCACGGGCAGGCCACCACCAGGAGCTGGCATCGGCTCTGGCAGCATGGACCCCGCAGGAGGGGTCTTCTGCGGATTATACACATGTGATTCTCTAATGGCCGCTGGTCAGCATCCTCCAACCAGCCATGAGGGAGGCTATTCTCAGCTGAGGCCACAGGCTGCTGTGTGCTGTCAAGGCATCTCCAGGGGCACCATTCAGACCGAATTCTAGGTCAGAGGTGCCCTGGGTGGTGTGCATTGCGGCCCTGGCCCAGGGTCTCTCTGCTGCTT